GGTCTTTTTCCTAGTTCCTCGGAGGATTAGATAAGCAGCTTAATTTGAATTTGGCTGCATGATTACCTTAGCAAGATCTACTACTTTTTTTTTTTTTTTTTTGGTGTGGCCTAATACATTTACTTTGAGTTTTTGTTGATATTGCTACTTAGTTGATTTGGTTGTGTTAATCCCACCATCAAGAATAAGATCACTGTCATCATTTAAAGCCAATTTGAAGCAAACTTTAAATACTGGCCAGGTGGGTGGGCTCTGACCAGGTCCATACCCAGGTTCCCAGGAAATGACCCAAAATTCATTGCATTTCCCATCAGGTCCAATCAGGGGCAAGCATACATCCTGAAGTACCTCCAGCCTATGAACCTCCTGTCCACGTGTGATCTAGCACATCCGGTGTAGGTGTGTCAAGCAAACTTGTTTAGGGGAATGAAAAACATGTGGCTTGTTATCTCCCATAAACAATAGTCTCCAGCATTTCAGGAACTATTATTTGTCCTTGGGCAAAGGGCTTGCAGATTAGAGGCAGTTTTGTTTCATGGAACTCTAAAGGATGGTAATTAAAATGTAAAATGTAACGTTTGCTCACAGTTGGTTTAGTTTTGGTTACACATTTGCTTATGGTAGCATATGTGTGCCAAGGTTGGTGTGTGTAAGAGGACAGCTTGCAGGAGTTGGTCTCTCTCTTTCTACCTCGTCCTAGGTGTTGAACTCAGCTCATCAGGCTTAGAGGCCACACTTTTATTTGCTGGTTTATTCTGGTTTGCTCTTTTGAGACACGGTCTCAAGTAACCCATGCTGACACTGAACACTGGATTCTAAGTGTGGACCGCCAAGCCAGCCTCCTGTAATATTTTATTTTTTATTTTTATAGAAGGGGTCTCTTAACATAGCTGTGGCTCTCCTAGGACTCACTATGTAGAACAAGCCAGCCCCAAACTCTCAGATGTCATTTTCTGCTGCCTCCCTTACTGGGATTAAAGTTGTGTGCCATTACATTCTGGAATCCCTTTCTTTGGAATGTTTCTCCCTCATACAGACACACCAAAATCACAGGCACTTTACCAGTCAACCAACTCCAGGGACAGGAGATAGTAAATGCTCAAGTTTATACCAGACTCTGGTTCTGAACCCCCTCCTCAAGATTGTGCTATGTGGCTCTTATCACAGTCTTGACAGGGCTTTTATTGTTTTATTGCTGATGGTTTTGAAACAGGTTTTCGGTAGCCCAGGATGGCCTCCAACTCACTAGAAGCCCAATCGTCCAGGAGCCCCAGCCAAGTGCTGGGGGATTAAAGGCAGCCTCACCGTTCAGTCCCTGTGACCAGGCTGTGTCTTCTTCCCTCCCTCCTGTTGCCCACACCCACCCCACTCTCACAGTCTGCTGACTACATATTTGTTTACAAAATGACCAACAGGATCCAAACGTCCTACGGAGGACTTTTCTGTTTTGTTTGTTTGAGATAGGGTCTCTCTTTGTTCTCTTGTGACAAGGACATTTCTATTCGGTCAGAGAGATTACAAGATGGAACTCTCCCCCACATCTCACCAGTTAACCAAATATATCTGCCCTTGCTCCCCCCACTCCCCCAACCCCCTTTGAGTCGGGAGACTTACTCTGCTGTTCTAAACTGGCCTCAAACTCATGATCCTCCAGCTGCAACCTCCTGAGTGCCGGAACATTTGGCATCTGGTTCTCCCCACCTCCACCCCCTCCCCCCAGAAGGTTGTTTTATGTAGATAAAACCTCTCAGGTGATTTCTTGGAGCTATTCTTACAAGAAAGAGACCTTTAGCCTTTTCTCTCTCTGCTGGCTAATCTTTCCAGATCCTTTATGTCTCTGTGCTTTGGGAAGGATTTGAGACTGGAGGGGCAGGTCAGAGAAAACCCTGAGCTTGCTCCTTAAAACTCGGGGTCCTTTGGGGCATCCTTTCTAACAATCCTGAGTGCCCCTTGCAGTGAACAAACTATAGAGAGGCCCCACTGAACTCTCCTAAGAGCTTATCTGGAGGTTCAGGTAGGAGTCATGGCTAATCGTATACTGTTGGCAGAAGAACCTCCTTCAGAGAAGGCCATTCTCTTCCACCCAGCATGCAACTTCAGGAGGGATGCTAGCAACGAGGGAGGAAGGGCACATCCGCCCAGCCAGCCAGATTGGCCAAGCCAGCCTGGGTGACCAATGGAGTGACCGATGTCACAACCAGACCACCCCCCACATCCTTGAGCTCTTCTCTGCTGGCCCTCAGCTTGGCTTTCCATGCCCATTCCCGAGGAACACCCCTTGCTACGTCAGCGTAGGGATCCTCAGCCTTCCTGATACCTGGTCAGCTTCGTCATTCCCTGTGAAGTCTAACCCTTGGCTTGATGACAGCAAGGACCCTGCTGCTGAGCCTTGCAGGAGTGTCCATAGCTCCACGTCTCCTCTCGGTGACATCCATGCACTCCCTGACACCCTTACTCTGCTTCCTTGACTGTAAATTCCCGCTTGTCTTTGCTGCATTTTAGTTTGACCTCACACTGACACTCCTCGTGCAACAGTAAGCGTCTTTTTCTTTTTTGGCTGTCCTTGTCATTTTCTTATAATCCAAAAGCTATAAAAGATTTCAGGGCAGTGTCCTACACCTTTAATCCCAGCATTCTGGGTACAGAGGCAGGTAGAGCTCTTGAGTTCCAGGCCAACAAGGGCTGTAAAGTGAAATTCTGCCTCAATAAATAAGGCAAAAACTTTTTAATAAGTTGGATGGTGGCACACACCCTTAATCCCAGCACTTGGGAGCCAGAGACTGGAGGATCTCTGAGTTTGAGGTCAGCCTGGTCTACAGAGTGACTCCCAGGACAGCCAGGGCTACAACCCTGTCTGGAAAGACAAACAAATTGAATAGATCACAAATGGAAAAAAGAAATATGAATGGTTCGTAAAATTGTAAAAAGTGTTCACAGGCATTCAACATTTAGAAAACTCACAGAGATCCACCTGCCTCTGCCTCCCTAGTGCTGGGATTAAAGCGTGCACCAACACCAACACCCAGAATCTCGTTGGGTATTTTATCACAGCAAAAATCAGAGTAACTGATACAGTTGTTTCCCAAATCATTTAAGGTATGTACTCTTCCCCCAGGGTTACACAATTTCTCAGTTCTCTCTAATTTCCTTTAAGACAGTGCCTCCATAGAATCTCAAGCTGGTCCTCAACGGTCTCCAGCTCAGTCTTCTGACTGCTAGGATTCCAGCCATTTAATGTGCTGCTAGGATCAAACCCAGGGCTCCATTATAAGCTAGGCGGGTATTCCACCCACTGACGTGTACCTCGGATCCTGTCTTTAATTTCTGACATTTAAATCTTGAACTCACCTTTTTGGGGCAAAGGTCTTTTGTAAACTCAGGAATTTGATATATACCCCAGGCTGGCCTTGAAGTCTAGATACATCTCCCTTTCCCTCCGAGTCTTGGAATTTGATAATAATGTTGGTCATTATTATTAAATTATGAGGATTTATTGTTTTTCTTTTTTGGCTTGCATCTTTTAACTTTTTCCCATCTCCATTATAACTAGGCATTGTCAAGACAAAAAAGAAAATTGTTATTCATCCAGCCACTATATTCTCTAATTCTAGTTTTTTCCTCTGTGAGTACTGTGTATATGTGTGTGATGTAAACTAACACGTTGTACAAACATCCTGGTTATTTCTTTGAGGTAGGGTCTCTCCATGAACCTGGAGCTCATTGTTATGCACCCCCCCCCCCACCCAGGCTGTGGGCCAACCTACCCTGGCAATTCTCCTGTCTCCCCACCACACACACACACACACACACACACACACACACACACACACACACACACACACACACGATCGCTGTAGTCAGGGGTGCCACTGGCAAGCCTAGTCTGTTGCAAACTCAGGCCCTCATCTTGTACAGAAAGTACTTTTAATCATTGAACCATGTTTCCAGATCTCCTCCACTCTGAAAATAAACTAAGTCTGGAACTTGCTAGCTATATGTTCGTGCTACAGTATTGTTCTGTAAGCTGGCCTGAAGGATCTCTAAGGAATGTCTGAGAAGTTACCTATGAGACATAATGGCTTTGTTCAGGTGCCATGGATGACGACACAAAGCATTGGTTCACTCCCCTAGCTTCCCGTCTTCCTCCTCACTACCTCCAGAGTTCTGTGGGGTTCCCCCCCCCCCATTTTTGTTCAAAGGCTTATCCAAGTTGAATCCCAATGGCAATACAGGCACATTTGCCATTTAAAAACAAAACCAGCTTACCAGGATTCATGTCCTTCCTGGGGACTGAATCCAGGACGTTAAGAATCCTAGGCAGTCAACGCACCAAGTGAATCACATCACCAGCTCCCTGTTTGATTTTTTTTGTTGTTGTTGTTATTTTTTGAGACAGGGGTTCGTATAGCCTGGGCTGACCTCGAACTCCTGACTGTCTGGTCTCCAACTCCCAAAAATATTAGGATTACAGACGTTTACTAAAGACTTTCCAGGGACCGCAGTGAGGCACTGGACTCGCTGTGTACGCAGTTTTGTGTCCTTCATTCCTGCACTTCCAACCACTGCCTTCAAAGCGCCAGGACAGCTAAAACCGTTTCCGGAGTCCCTTCCCCGCCGGCGGCGGAGGCCGATTCCGAGAGACCGGAACTCACTCCAGCGCCTCTGCCTACCGCGCCTGCGCGTTACCCGGCGGCGGCGGCGGCGCGCCTCCGCCCCCCGGTGCATTGTGGTCATTGTAGTCCGGCCGTCGCTCCGGCGCACACAGTCCCGTGACGCCGCTGCGCCTCCGCCCCACCCCGCAGTGTGTGCCCGGAGGCGGCCGCGGGGTGTGCGCTCCGGGGCGCGGCGTGCAGGCCGGTCAGCTGCTTCTCCGCGGGCAGAGGGCGGAAGCCCGAGCCGCTGGGGCGGAGCTTCGTCGGGAGCGGACGCTCGCCCGCCCGCCCGCCTTGCGTGCTCGTTCGCCTCGGTGCGCTGCGCGCGAGCCCGGAGTCCCCGCGGCGGGCGGCGGCGGCGGCGGCGGCGGCGTTGGCAGACGGCGGAGGCGGAGGCCAGGGCCCGCGGCTGCCGCGGCGACAGACAGCGAGATGGCGGAGACCGTGGCGGACACCCGGCGGCTGATCACCAAGCCGCAGAACCTGAACGACGCCTACGGGCCGCCCAGCAACTTCCTGGAGATCGACGTGAGCAACCCGCAGACCGTGGGGGTCGGCCGGGGCCGCTTCACCACCTACGAGATCAGGGTCAAGGTGAGGCCGGCGGCCGCGGGCCCCACCGGGCGGGCGCGGGGCGAGCCAGGCTCCCCGGGCGGGGAAGGGAAGGGAAGGGAAGGTGCTGGAAGCTGAGGGCGTGGGCTGAGCTCTGCTCGCCTCCCAAGCCGCTGCTCTGGGCTTGGCGTCTGAGCTGAAGATCTTTCCAGAACGCTCTCCTCCTGCTCGGAGAAGGAAGCTAGGTGTGACTGAGGGAAGGGCGTGCTGGTGGTGTGCAAAGTTGAAGCCCTCCCTCTCCTTTTTTTTTTTTTTTCTTTTTTCCTGGATGCCTACCAAGACGTGGTCAAGCCAGCTTGCTGCACTTTCCAGGCCTCTCTCGGGCTGCAGGACCGCCAGCCGGGGTCGCACGCTAGCCCGAGCACAACTTGACGGCAGTTCACGAAAGCCCGGCAGGGTTTTTTTGTTTTTTTTTTCTTTTTTTTTTTTTTTTTTTTGGGGGGGGGGGTAGGGCTGAACCAAGCGCTTGCACTCACCGGGAAATGGTTGACCTTAGCGTTCTTGGCTACCGGCCTGTGGAAGGCCTAGGTGTGGGGACTGTCACCTACCTCAGCAACCTTTTAGCAAGCGCCTGAGAGGGGGACCTGCCCATTTAAACGTCGTGCTCTCTTAATTTCTACGTTGTCACTTAAGCCGAATGAAGGAAGCAGCCGAACTAGAAAGATCCACTTAGCTAGTGGGTTTTGGCAATAAGTAATTTAGATGATTTGAAAGATGCTAAATGAAAATAACGCTTTGCCGTATTTTCTCTGCAGTTCAGGTTAAAGGTTTTGCCCACATTTGGAATTTTTTTTTTATTTGTAGCAATTTACCACTAAACACTAAATTATTTTTTTAAAAAATTATAACCATAACCAAAAGATAATTTTGGCTTTAGAGGAATCATAATAAATAACCAATAGCATTTAAGTGAACTAATTCCTCATTAATGATTAATGCTGGCACGTTTTCTGTGGTAAACAATTTGCCAGCCTAGTCAATTCTAAGTTGTGTGACTCAGTAGTGTTACATATACTTATGTTGCTTAACTTACACTTTTTTTTAGACATGGTTTCTCTGTGGCTTTGGAGCCTGTCCTGGAACTCACTCTGTAGACCAGGCTGGCCTTGAACTCACAGAGATTCACCTGCCTCTGCCTCCGGAGTACTGGGATTAAAGGCCTGTACCACCACCGCCAGGCTAAAGATTGATTCTTGTATAAAGACCAGGATAAAAAGAGAATCATCCAGCTGGGCGTGGGTGGTACACACCTTTAATCCCAGCACTGGAGGCAGCCAGGTGAATCTCATGAGTTCAAGGCCAGCGCTGTCTACATAGCAGGTTCCAGGACAGGCTCCAAAGCTACACTGAGAAACCCTGTCTCGAAAAAAACAAAAACAATAACAACAACAACAAAAAAATCACCCTGCTCATGAGGCCAGCTCATATGTAGACCAGGCTGGCCCCAACTGCTGGGATTAGAGTCCAGTACACTATCTCTGGTGTATCAGCAAGGCTATAAAATTAAAATTAATAGCCCAGTCTTTCAAGCTACTCTTTACATCCTGCAGATGTGTAAAATATGAGCCAAATTCATATATTGTTCTCTACAAACTTCAAAATTCAGGCTGTAGTACAACTAGTGAATTTTTTTTTCTTTCTTTTCTTTTTTTTGGAAACGGGATTTCTTTGTTTAAATCTCTGGCTATCCTAGCACTCACAGACATCTGCCTGCCTCTGCCTCCCGAGTGCTGGGATTAAAGAAGACTCGCCGGGCCTTGCAGGGGAGTTCACTCTTGCACAAGATTGTTTTAAAAGGGAGTAATTGTAGGGGCTAGAGAGAAGGCTGGCTCAGTGGTTAGGGACTCTTTGCTCTTGCAGAAGGTTTGAGTTTGGTCCCCAGCACCCACATAGATGATGGAACCACCTGGAACTCCATGCCCTCTTCTCGTCCTCCTTAATCTCTCTCTCTCTCTCTCTCAGAAATTCTTTTTTTAAGGTGATTTTTTTTTTTAAACTTAGGGGACAATTTTTTGTCTTTAGCATATGTCCTGTCACTAAAAAGAACTTCCTCTTTTACGTTTACTCACCAGCATGTTTTTCCCTTGCGCTAGCATGAAACTTGGTATTCCTGTTTCTAAACTTCCATAACTAGCGTTTCCTGTCATACACTTGAGGGAATCCGCCTACACTTCCTCCACTTAATAACTTAGTGCTCATCTTGCTGAGTGCATTGTTAAATGGGTCCTAGTGTGATAATTCTCTTTCCAAAAATATGTGAGACCTTATTACTAAATAGTGGGCATAACATTTGGATATAATTGTTAATGGCCTGGCCAGGTACATAGAAAACAGTCATTTTAAGAGTGATTAGTGAGTTAGATAAATTACACCTACTCTGGTTTATTCTTATTATAAGCCACTTGGTTGTGTGTTAATGACTAATGGAAATACTGGCACCCAATAATAAAACATAATTGAATTTTAATGCTTAGAAATGCTGTTGGAGTTTCTTCTAGCGTGTAATGTATTGACTGAATACTCGGGACACCAAGTAGGAAGACACAAGGGTTTCTCTAAGCAGGGTGTAATGTTTGAAAGTAATTATGACCTCATGTTAAGGGAGAATGAACCAGTGGCGCACGCCCTTAGTCCCAGAGCTTGGGTGGCAGAGGCAGGCAGGTCTCTGAGTTTGAGGCCAGTCTGATCTACATAGTAAGTTCCAGGATACAAAAAAAAAAAAAAAAGTTAGAATGGCCATGAGATGAATACATCTATCATTTTGTAATTTTATTTATTACTATTCTAAACTGTTGATGTTCTCCGTAGTTTCCACTGCCTTTGGGATTGAATTTCCCATGTAGAAAACCCTTTTATTTTTCAGAGTTCAGGTCCTTAAACTATCTTATATAGTTACTCTAATTCTAGTCTTGAGAAAAATGTTCAATTTTACAGGGTCTGATTGAAATTGCTCCAATTCACAGGGTAATTTTATCTAGATGGTGGCACTTTAGAATACAAGTTTCCCAAGCTCCATTTATCTTTCTTTCCTCGTTTGAGAATAGTGTTTAAGACTATTAGGATCACTTGATTAGTATCTCTCAGCTTCTGAAAATAATTGGCACAGTGTTAATGTTTTTTAAAATTGTTCTAATGGGTAGGTATGGCAGAGAACACGGTAAATGATTAAAGGTCTGGGAGAGCTCTCGGTCTGGATTATTTGGCATATTAAGTGGAGGATTGAGAATTGAATTCAGCCACTGCTTATGAAGTTTATGTTAGTACTCTGGGCTTTTCAGTTATTTAAGATCTACTATAGTACATGGAGACAATTGTATCAAGCAGGAATAGATATGTGGTTCTTGAGGTTTGAGCTAGCCTTGGGGTCAAAAGAGTAAGTACCATTTCCTAGCAGGACAATTTACATACAAAAAAAAGTTGTACTTCCTTCCCATGAAATGGGTCCTTGATAGTCACACCTACCTTCCAGGATTGGATATTATAATGGCTGTCATCCAATTTTCACCCAACGTCTGGCCCTTTCTAAATATAAATGTCTTCTAAAGGGAAAGTCAAAGGCAACTACTTTTTTTGTGTGTGTGTTAACTTGTAAGTTGATTTGCTAAAATGGATTATCTTATCAAAAAGACCACTTGGCATGGAAGTATACCTTCATTGAGGCAAGTGAGATATAAAAAAGAAGCCAGACTGATTAGTACCTCTAACCAAATAGGTTTAGAATCTTGTATTCAAGCTTGAAGCTTAATACCGACATTGGTTGATAGAGTTTTAACAAGGGAGATGCTTGTGGTTAAATTTCAGCATGCCTTTTCCCAGCACTTTAGAGGCTGCCTAGTCTACATAAGGAGTTCCAGGTCAACCAGGACTACTTAGTGTGATCCTATCTCAAGAAGCAGCTTGATAAATAAGTATTCACCATTCTAAAGATTCCCCCCCCTCCTTTTTGGGTGGGGGGAGTTTGTTTTTCTCTGAGTAGACTAGGCTAGCCTCAAACTCAGAGATCTGCCTGCCTGTTTCTCGTGTGCTGGGATTAAAGGCGTGCACCACCATCACAGCTAGGCAGGTTGGTGGTTTTTTGGGGGAGGGAGGGGTAACAATCTTCTAATACTAAATTTGAAAATTTAAGATTTGCAAGTATTATATTAAAGGATCAACTTAATATTATGATGTCTGAGACGGGGTCTTACATGGTGTACCATGCCGGCATCCAACTTACTGTGTAGTTGAAGATGGCTTTTAATTTCTGATCCTTCTGCCTCCATTTCTGAAGTGGCATATTACAGGCCTGCACTACCATGCCTGGTGAAAATATTTTAGAAAATCGGGGTTTGTTTGTTTTTGTTTTTGTTTGGTTTTTTTGAGACAGGGTTTCTCTGTGTAGACCTGGCTGTCCTGGAACTAGCTAGTCTTGAACTCACGGAGGTTCTTCCTCCCCCTGCCCACTGAGGCCAGGGATTAAAGGGGCGTGGCACCACACTCAGCTGGTCCATTTTCTAACGAACATTTGAGTTTAGTTGCAGTTGACTTGTGTGTGACTGTCCTGCCTGGGGTTCACAGAGGTAAGAAGAGATCGCTGAATCCCCTAGAACTGGAGTTACAGATGGTTGTGAACTGCCATGTGGGTCCTACAAGGACATTAAGTACTCTTAACCACTGGGCTATCTCTTCAGCCCTGCAGTTGACTTTTCTGGGACCTCCATCCAGTGGAGTCACTCACGGGGGTGGTAGAAGATTGGGATTGGACCTAACATGGCCTTAAGAGTGATAAAGTTGATGACAGTTGAAAAGGAGCCCTGTTACTTTATGTTGGGTAATTAGAAACCCAGATCTATATTATTCAGAAACAGAGGCACAAAATGTGTCTCCTACGCAGAGCAAGTTGTCCAGTTGATGCACAAGAACTGCTATGGTTATAATTTTACGTATTTTGGAATGGGCTATTTTAAAAATACATTCAACTTGTTAAATCCACACCCTAATTC